TCGTGAAACAGGCCCCTGGATTTTAACCAGATTGCTTGTCAAAATGCCGTGATTGTCTTCCCGTACTGTTAACATGTTTCCCAATTGCCACTTAAAGGAGCTAAATCGCTAATATTTTGGACCTAGAAATTGGCACAAATGGGTCGCAACACATATAATAATGTAATAGGAATTTATATAAACTGTTTTACATTCAATTGTGTCCGTTTTACTGTGAATTGTCGTCAGTTATGTTTGGCGAAATACGCCAGAAGTCTCAACCGCAAGTCAGTTTCTAGCGTCTGGTTATTCCAGTCAACACCGGTATTATTTATTGCGCATGCCCTCCAGATAAGAACATGATATCACCGTTTGACATGACTTGTGGAATACATCTAGTCTCATTCTTTGAGCACCTTGTTACAAATGGCGCTGAAAGGCATTATGGTACACGAATCGTGTACTAATGGTAAAATGTTTAATTTGTCTTAAATATTGGATATCAGAAGCCCATCTTTTCCAGGTAAGATCACAACACCAATGCTGATTTAAATTGCAAAAAAATTTGTGTTTTCAATTTCGAAGATTTTGGATGATATTGAGTTACGGACTTAGCTACTTTAAAGATTATCTATTTTTGCTGTTTATTTTGGAACACTATCCTCTTAAATACACTTTACGATAAATTCAGTTTCAGAATATATCTTATCATTTTGTTTACGACTGATGCTAAAATGGTTTAAAATTATCCCTTTCAAATGCTATCTAAACGTGCTAATCACTCTGACTGATATACAAGTATATACTTTTCAATATGACAGATAAATTTATAAGAAAACACTTCAAAACCTGTGTATTTATGATAAACTTAACACATGCCTCATACTGGCAACTAAATTAAATAATAGATCCACCCATCAACGGTAAAAAAATTAAATTGCAACATTCCTTTGCGTTTCTTTAATTTCCGTTTTAAAGGTTTTCAACACATATTTTTGAGATAAAATCAGCATATTACGATTTTTTTTAACCCTTTCAATTACTCTTAACACATGTTCCTCACATCAAAAGTTTACAAAAGTCATGGAAAAATTCTCTATTTTAATTTGTATGTGATAAAACCCAAGGTGAAAGCAGAAAGAGAGAGAGAGAGAGAGAGAGAGAGAGAGAGAGATGTGGTTTAATGTCCACTGACACAAACTAGGTCATTTCGGGACTCACATATGGTTCAATTCTATTTCAATAACTCGCTTGTGCATAGGGGTCTTTAGCAGTGGGAGGAAACCGGAGGACCTGGAGAAAACCGACTAGGTTGGACAGGCGACCCTACTCCCTGTCACATACAATCGGGGAATCGAAACCACCGCAGTTGATTCCATGACAGACCTTATGATACAGTACGCACATGCTAACCATTCAGCCATCCAACCAGCCAGGCGAAAGCAGTGATGTTACAGTATTTTAGCAGTACCGTACCATAGCAGATATTATCCCTGCCCCGCAGATAGTAGCAGACAGTAGTCTGTCTCTATTTTAAAAGACAAAAAGGGAAACAACTCTATTATAAATGGTTTATTAATGAAATGAAATGGGGTTTAATGAAGAAAGGCATACACCATACAGTGTGCTATGAGGGAAACTAAGGCCTACTCTTATATCAAATTCCTTAGGGTAAGGGTTAGGCTTGGCCCAGGGTTAGGGTTAGGGCTAGCCCTGTCTACATCTCGAGACTCTGACGAAAGGTCCTAGCCCTTACCCTAACCCTTATCCTAACTCACAATCCACATATGACGTCATAAAATGCGCAGGACCGTCTCCGATCTAGCGTTCTCCAGTCTACATAGAACCTCGGATTTTCATCCCATCTGATCAACTAGACAGCTGTCCTTATTAAGCTCTCCATCCTGCACCAATGACAAGGGGAGGGCACGCCGGAAGGTCCTGATAAACTTTCTTGGCCAACAGGGGAGCAAACACGCGAACTCCAGGCTAGCGAGCCAGCGTCTTACCCATTTATCCACCTTGGCTTCCTAAGTTTATAAAGAATAGCTAACAATCTAATGATAAATGAAATGAAAAGGGGTTTTAACGTCCTACTGTTCTGCTCCTACACTGGGCTAATGAAGACGGGCATACACCATACAGTGTGCTATGAGGGAAATTTTGCCCGGGCAGCGGCACTATCGCCTTCTCTTATATCGATTTCCAACTGTCAAGGGATCTTTTATGTGCATTCCAATGTAAACACGGGACCTCGGTTTTTCGTCTCATCCGAAGGACTAGACAGCTGTCCTTGTCAGGCCCTCCGTTCTGCACCACTGACAAGGGGAAACCACGTCGGATAATGATAAATGAAGAATACATCTAGGATTTTAAAATGGGTACCCAATTGAGAATGAAGACATTTTCTCGTCATTGAAAGATTTTAGTAAAATAAACCAGTAATTCTAATCCATATAAATGTGTTGCATTAATTTCTGTTTTCTTTACCAATAGCAATCGTACTTTTTTTTTGTTGGGAGTGATAATGACCATTCTTTAGTTCATGTCGGTTAGTGGTCGGACACGTCTAATCTATAGAATTTATTTTTTTATCAATTTTTGATGTAATAATATACCATGCAAAGAAAGTAACACTGTTATCCAAATCAATTCAGTGGGTAGGACCAAATACATACAGCTCGAAAAAAAAAGACAGAGACACATATCTTACTCTGTAGACTTGTATGACACCTGATGCGACCTTCCACTACAGCCGTTCAGATCTTCATGTAGTGTAGGCCATCGAAATTATAAACAAACAGAACGAAATGAAGATCAGTATTTTAATCAGATTGCTTGTAGAAACGTCGTGATTGTCTTCCCGAAAATAAAAAAAGTCAGAGACAAACATATCTTACCCCATAGACAATGAGATTAAGAGCCGACTGTGGATTAATTTCACCATTTGTTGAGATTGTATCTATGTTTTGTAGAGGAAATCCAGCACATGTGACATTACCATACTTCCAATATACAGCTCTTTCTATCTCTAATAAATGTTCATACATCTAAAATATAACAACATATAATATATAGCTATCTATATCTCTAATAAAACATACATCTAAAATATTACAATATACTGTATAATATACAGCTCGGAAATTGACGAAATAGTCAGAATCACTAAATTTCGGTAATAGCATTTAGCCTCTCTTCATTAGCCTGGTCAGGGCTGAAACGTAGGATGTTAAACCCCATTTCATTTCTTTTACAATTAATCGGTGGCTAAGTGGGTAAGCCACTGGCTCGCTAGCCAGGAGGTCACGTACCTGTTCGATCGCTGCACTGGCTGAGAAAGTTCATCTGGATTTTCTGTCATGGTTTCCCCTTGTCAGTGGTGCAGGATGAAGGACCTGATCATGACAAGGACAGCTGTCTAGTCGTTTGGATGGGACAAAAAAAAAACGAGGTCCTGTGTATACATTGGTGTGCATGTAAAAGATTCCTTGACAATTGGAATGCGAGATAATAGTAGGCCATAGTGCCGCTGTTCGGGCAAAATTTCCCTCATAGCACACTGTATGGCATATGCTCGTCTTCATTAGCCCTGTTGGAGCAGAACAGTAGGACGTTAAACCCTCATTTCATTTCATTTTTACAATAAATCAAACTAAAGGCTCTTTTCCATTTCAACAAGATCAATTACCTTAAAAAAATTCTAAAGAAAAATACGAAACTTACGCCTTTTCTAGCTAACTTTGCTGCTAGGGTTAGAGGAGTTAAACCTTGGTTGTTTTTTATACTCAAGTCTCCTCCAAGGCTGTGCACAAGATCAAACATTTCCTAAAATATGAAAAAAAAATCTGATTAATAATAATACTAACAAAATTTTTTAGTTTCTATAAAATGTGCTAGAAAATGATATGAGAGTGTTAAAATGTGCTAAATAGTGAAAAATGTGTTAATGATATTCAAAAAATGTTAATCAAATACAACTAATTTTAATTAAGTGATGTGATATGAAAAGTTCCACATAAGCACCCAATGTGACTTGTTTTTGATTAAACACTGAAAAATAATCAATTACTTCCTAGGAATAAATATAGAGAATCAGATACACTACTGATGTATTGCAGTAGATATCAGTAAATATTGACGTATTGCAGTAAATATCATTAAATAATGATATATTGCAGTAGATATCAATAAATATTACTGACATATTGCAGCAGATGTCAGTAAATACTGACATATTGCAGTAGATGTCGATATATACCTTACACGCAATATCACGATTTTAATGTCATGCTAAACATACAATAATGTCTATTATAAAGGATTGTGGGAAGGTTTACAGGAGGGGATGTAAGTATCTGGGGTTATTGGTACATCCATGGGTAAAATCAGGGCAGCATCAAATTAAATTTATTTTTGTATTAAACATACATTATGCAAGAGCTAAATCTGCCTATTGCGGGTCTTTCTTTAGGCCTGAAATGTTATCTAAATCATTAATTAGACATTTATTAACTTATCCAGACCATAATCAACTCTCGATATCATCGCTAGCCTGCGATATTTATTGGATTAGGTTAAGATTAGCTGTTCGACTTCCATTCAAGATTTAATCATGAAATGGATACTCAAGACTATGTTGTTTATCGTACCGTAGTAATAATGATTGAGGCTAGGCCGAAAATTCAATCGCTAAAATCTGGGTTCAGAGTGGATCAATTTGACTGAAATTTTCAGCAAATTCCCTTTACATTATCTAGTTTTTAACTATTATAGTGCGAACAGCCAGCTCTTTATCTAATCTCTCATAATGTATCTTTAAACTAAAGAAATAATGTAAATATTTTGAAGAAAACAAATAAATCAAGTAAAATTGTTTTTTCTATGAATCTAACAATAAAAAATAAAGGATACCTTCTAAAATAACATAAAAAATTTGTTTTTATATGATATAAATATTAAAGGATAGCACCCATACACCACATGCTGTATTAATAAAGGTAGAAATATTAGAATAAAAGTCAAACCTGTCTGTTTACACCTGTAACCCCCTGTTAGTAAGTGAAAAACATACAAAATCACAACATCTATTACTAGTGCACTTAGAGTTGTATGCAACCCTTCTAAGAGAGAAAAAGAAATGGGCTTTAACGTCCATTTAACACAAGTAGGACTAACGTATATATATCGTACGAAAAATCAGAGTCCTTAGTACACATTGGCGTGCATATAAAAGAATCTGACTTGAAATTCGAAATAAGGTAGGCCGTAATGCCACTGTTCAGGAAAAATTTCCCTCATAGCACACTGTACGGTGTATGCCTGTCTTCATTAGCCCAGTTCGGAGCAGAACAGTAGGACGTTAAACCCTATTTCATACCATTTCAAAGTCAGATATATTTGCAGGAGGGGTTTGCCAGGTTCCTTAGATAATGTATCTTTTAAGGAGGGGGGGGGCTGGAGGGTTCTCTTCCCTCAGCCTTGAACATTTTTGAGAAATACATAGTCTCTATCTATCTGTGGTAACAACCAGGGTTCACTTGGACAAAACACAGAAACTGGGATTTTACATAAAAACATTTCGTCTCAAAGCTTCAAATTATGCTACCAATCAACTCTAAATCAGTAAATTTTAAACGCTGCTCAACTTGTAATAAGCAGTAATTGTATTCTATAGAATAGTGAGCTGTATATTCCAAATGAGTTATAAGCCTTGAAACATATAAGTGAACTAATATGCTGTTCAGATGCTTATGTTAAACTAGTTTATATAAAACTTTTGCAATCTTTAAACCAGTTTAACTTTAAAGGTATTGTTTAGCTTTGGGAACACAGTTTTCTTCCTGAATGATAACTTGTGCCCATGTTAAATTAACTTTTAACCAAAAGGGTCTAAATTCATTTCTCTATTGGATTAAAAGAGAGTGAGAGAGAAATGGGGTTTAACGTCCACTCGACACAAACTAGGTCATTTCGGGACTAACATATGGTTCAATTTTATTTCAATAATTCGCTTGCAGTGGGAGGAAACCGAAGGACCCAGAGAAAACCCATGAGGTTGGACAGGTGACCCTGCTCCTTGTCACGAACAACAGGGGAATCGAAACCCCGCCAGTTGTCTCAATGACAGACATTCGACCTTCTCATGCTTTGAGAGCCAGAGGATGTAAATTATGTATTCGCATTTTATAAATATTTTAAACAAAATACTAGAATTTCAACCGGGGATTTAAAACCACGCCAGTTGACTCAATGACAGACTTTGTGATACAGAGCGGGCTAGCTAACCATTCAGCCATCCACCCCACCCCCACCCCCGCCTACTGGATTAAAAACATCAGTGTTTTAAAAATGCATTATGTAAGAGCTAAATCTGCCAATAGCAGGTCTTTATTTTGGCTTCAAATAATATATAAAATATTATTTAGACATTTATTCATATGACAAGCCTATATAATCAACTTTCTAGAGAGATGGCAGAGATTTAAATGGATTAGAATGCCAGCGAGATTTAAAAAACAATCAAATGGATAATCAATCGACTTAAGTCTCTTTTGACCAATTCCACTGCACTTGGTAAACCTCGGCAGATTCCGGTACTCCACATCTAGCCTCAGCTATATAAAGGTAAGTGATATGTACCTACATCTATACAATTGCCAGTTTACTTATTAGGAAAACTTGCTGCTTTTAGAAAGAAGTTCTCAAAATTACGTCGTTCAAAGAGTGTGTAGAATTTAAAGAAAATTGGATAAACTTGAAAGAAAAACAGCTTCAGACTTTGAAAGCTTTATATTATAAAACATTCTTCAACAGCATCGTCATGGGCAACGCCGTTGGTAATCTGGACCTTGAAAGTAGTTCCAATGGCAGATTTTGTCATACAGCCTAGCCTAGATGTAAGGTATACTGGAATCTGCTGAGGTGTGCCAAGTGATTTCATTGTTACGATAATAAACAATCTACAGTACATCTTCCAAATTCATAATTTCACTCAGAATAGAGTATTTTGAATGAAATTTTCAATATATTCAGTTTTCATTATCTATTTGTGAACTATTATAGTAAAAATGGACAGCCTTCATCTAAATCTTACATAATGTATCTTTAAACTAGTTTAAATATCAATGTCTGAACAGCATATCTGATTAGTGATGTGGTAAACTATATTAAAAGTGAATGTGTAAATATAAAAGAATGTAAGCAGTGCAGTATTATCTTTATATTTCAAACTCAACTCAATAAAATATAAAACATTATAAAGAAATCTTTAAGAGTAGCAATTGTGTTTTATTAATTACTTTTATATAGAAACACAGAAAATTTATAATACATTTCTACTGGTTAATTTACCTCGTGTAATTTGTGAAAAAATCTATAAAAAAAATACTCCCACCAGCAGCAAAGTCTAAATCTTAAATTGGGAGGGAAAGGGAGAGAAATGGGGTTTGGTTTAACGTCCACTAGACACAAACTAGGTCATTTTGGGACTAACACATGGTTCAATTTTATTGCAATAATTTGCTTGCGCGTTGGCGTCTTTAGCAGTGGGAGGAAACCAGAGAACTTGGAGAAAACCCACGAGGTTGGACAGGCGACCCTACCCCTTGTCACGTACAACCAGGGAATCAAAACCCCCGCCAACTGACTCAATGACAGACCTTATGATACAGCGCGCACGTGCTAACTATTCAGCCATCCAAACCCCCTTGATAGTTTAGAATGAAACAATTTCAATATTGTTTTGCCATTATGCCAAAATAAACAATAAGTACTATCAAGTTTTAATTTCTATAGAACTCCTCCTTACAACCAAAAGAACAAGAAAGATTTGTGGCAAGCTTAAATTCCTGGTCCGTATCGCGTATCCGTATTAATTTTGCGTGTGTGACATCATCAATGCGTGTGTATTTCTCATACGTGATACGGCACACGGATACAACAGAAATGTTGTATCATAGCATTTTTATGAATCTATGTGTATCCTAGAACACAAAGGTGTTTATTTGATGTGATTTTAACCATGATAAAGACTGGAATTTAATCATTAGTTTTGATGAGCCTTTCGCAGAATTTTCATATTTTTCCTGTCTGTCTGTCTGCATGCTTGTTGATCTACATGATAAATAAAGGGAGGTGGGACCTTGCAAATCTGTAAAAGGGGTATATACTTTCTGAAACAATACATTAGTGAAACCAAAAATTGCTGTCGAGTCGAAGTCGCAGATTTTTAATAAGATTCGACACTATATGTTTTCTAAATTTTAAATAGCTCAGTGACTGTCAAGCGAGTTTACTCTTTTCAGGAATTTGTAGACTAATCACTAACTGCCATCATGTTGTAATAGAACTAAGCTCAGCTCAGCTATCCATATGTACGCGGCACGATAATTCTGCCAAACTCTAAAAACTACATTGACGCAACGTATCATGTAAACGATACAGATACGCGATACGGATGGGGAAAATTCCGCTTGCCAAAAGTATCTAATACATACAGTGCATAGACTGTTCACAAGAAATCTTGGATGGTTTGCGTTGTGGGTGACGGCATTATACGTCCACATTAAATGCTGACATATTTAAAATGAGTTATATATATAATCTAACCTTTTTATCGTGAATAATGAGCATGTGCAATACTGTGTTACCATTAGCATCTTGTAGATTCGTTAAATGAGTTAAATGAACATTATTTAATTTATCCTTAGCAACTAATAGCCTCACACACTCCTCTTGTCCCAAACACGCTGCAAACCCCAGTGGATATTCTCCAAAATATACATGGCTGGAAAACAAGATGGGCATAATTGATGAAATGCTTTCCCAAATAGATCTACGAATCAACAGAATATAATCTTTATGGAGAGAGAGAGAGAAATGGGGTTTAGCAGTGGGAGGAAACTGGAGGACCCGGAGAAAACCCACGAGGTTAGACAGGCTACCCCACTCCTTGTCACGTACAACCGGGGATTCGAAACCACGACAGTTGACTCAATGACAGGCCTTATGATACAGTGCGCACGTGGTAACCATTTGACCATCTAACTTCCCCTAATTTTTATGGGAAACAATCACTGTTTGATAACGATAAGAGGATACTTGTCAAAACGTCTTGCTTTTAGAATAAAACCAGTGATTGTTTCCCATTAAAATTGTGTTGTGTTAATGTGTTTCTCAATGGCTAAATGCCACTTAAAGATTAGATCTACGAATGCTATCATCCAATAACATATGAAATTTATTTTTGACATTTTTAGCAATTATGTATGCTTATCCACACATTATAAATATCATGAAATGATATGAAAGGGGGGTTTAACATCCTACTGTTCTGCTCTGACTGTACGTGCTAATGAAGATGGGCATACGCTATACAGTGTGCTAAAAGGGAAATTTTGACCGGACAGTGGTGCTACTGCCAACTCTTGTATCGAATTCCAACTGCCTAGGGATCTTCTATGTGCATAGCAATGTGTACAAGGGACCATGGTTTTTCATCCCATCTAAACGACTAAAAAGTTGTCCTTGTCAGACACTCCGTCAGGGAAACCACGCCGGAAAATCCTGATAAACTTTCTCGGCCAACACCCTGGGAGGGTGCTGTAAGGGACATTTTGCACAGATAATAGTGTTTCCACCTACTTTTCATCGAATTAAGGGTGTAGAATTACAACTGTCAAGGTTGTAGAATTACAACTGTCAAGGGTGTAGAACTACAACAGGTTGTCTTTAAATATCTGAAGACAAGACAATATTCCATACCAGCCCACCACCCCATTCTGCACAATTGACATAGGAGGGAGAGATAGACAGAAATGGTGTTAAACGTCCACTCGACACAAACTAGGTCATTTCGGGACTAACATATGGTCCAATTTTATTTCTATAATTTGCTTGAGTGTAGAGGTCTTTAGCAGTGGGAGGAAACCGGAGGACAATGGAGAAAACCCACGAAGTTGGACAGACTACCCTGGTCCCTGTCACGTACATTTTGTTTCGCTATTTATATGTCAAAATTTCGTTTTACTTGTCTTTACTACACTAGGGTCTGGAAGAGTTGTTATATAACCCGCGTTCTGGTTGATGTGAGGGATTAGCCAATGAAACGGTTTGTTGCGGTGAGTTCTTGGCATGGAACTGTGGGTGTCCCACTAGAAACATTAAGCTACAGTATAAAACAAAAATTCAAATCTAATTATTTTCAGAAGTAGAAGTTTTGATAAATAAGACCTACCCTTCGTAGTTTGTTTTCTGGCAGACGTCTATCCACTCATGAAAGGGGTTATCTGTCCTTGAGGTCTTTTGATCATCTGGACAGAAAAAGTTCCCACAAGTTCTAGCTCGACAATCAGCACCATTATCTAATAAAAACTTCACCATGGCAGGATCTTCATTAACAATAGCCATGTGTAATACATTTTCTCCTGAAAAAAAAAACATCCAAGTTATTGTTTTATTAAGGGAGAGAGAGAGATCGAAATGGGGTTTAACGTCCACTTGATACAAACTAGGTCATTTCGGGAATAACATATGGTTCAATTTCATTTCAATAATTTGCTTGTGCGTAGGGGTCTTTAGCAGTGGGAGGAAACCGGAGGACCCGGAGAAAACCGACAAGGTTGGACAGGCGACCCTACTCCTTGTCACGTACAACAGAGGAATCAAAACGACGCCAGTTGACTTAATGACAGACCTTATGATACAATGCGTACACGCTAATCATTCAGCCATCCAACCCCTGTTTTATTAAGGGTTGAGGTGGCCAGGGCATTGGTCTGTGGTTTTTGGACATAGCCATAGGAAGCTACAGGTACAATATTCATTCCTCAAAGTGCACCTTCCTCTATTCTTATCGGATCGTGGGGGTGGTGTAGATAACGGGTGACACCACAAAGTCTCTAACTACTTAAATGCAACACCCTTTTCTCACAAAACGAAGTCAAGGTAAATGAAATGAAATGAAACGTCTTACTGTTCTGCTCTGATTGGGCCAGCATGCAAAAGAATAAGGATTGGTTTAATACCTAGTTAACATGAAGATTGATCGGGTCCAGAATAAATTTTCATTTCATTTCAATATTTTCTGGCAGGAATCATTAGTTGCTGAGAGGAAACTAATGGAAGCTCAACAGTGACTAATGTATGCCCCCGGATCCATTCACTTTTTTTTTAATTGTCTGTTTGTGTTTTCCTGAGTATGATGTCTTGTCCGTGTATTTGTTTTTGTGTAAATTTTGTGTGGTGCAGTCCCCCTGCACTTACTATTTGATTACTCAACCACCTGTTTTGATATACTAGTCTACCTGAGCCACGGTGGATCTGTGACTAAGGGGCTGGATCACTGATTACAGATCATACATGTATATATAGGCTTATATGTACATGTAAGTGAAATGAAATGGGGTTTAAAGTCCTACTATTTAGCAATGACTGGGATAATGAAGAAAAGCATACACTATACAGTGTGTGAGGGAAATTTTGCCAGGACGGTGGCCTAATCTTATTTCGAATTCCAACTGTCAAGGGTTCTTTTACATGCACGCAAATGTGTATACTGGACCCCTTCCTTGTCAGGCCCTCCATCCTGCACCACTGACAAGGGGAAACAATAAGGAAAGCCCTGCGGAACTATTTCTGCCAACTCCAGGAGTTGACGAGCCAGCGTCATACTGAGCCCCTTCTACTCCCTTACATATATTTAAATATATAAAGGGTAAACTAAATTAAAAATTTCAACCTAAAAGTAACTTTTCTTACCATAATACTCATCCCCAGCATATATATCATTAATTAATTTAGGATAAAACTTAATGAGACGTTTGGCAATATCAGCATGTGTTCTAGATGAATTTAAAAAACAAAGATGTAAAATGGTTTCCCCAACAGATCCTCTTTCTTCCATACTCCAACAAACTTCCCGATAAGACTCTTTATCTGAAATATTCAAATATTTTGGGTTTTTATAAATATACAACAACAACAAAAAGGTATCTTCTTTGATTGACATTTAGTAACTGAACACATTAACACAAGATACACAATTACTTATATTAATACTAAAGACCAGAGTATCCTCGTCGAAACATTGCTTAGTATTAAACTCAGTAATTGTGTATCCATAAAATTGTAGCTTGTGTTAACAAAATGGTAGCAACATGTGTATTATGAATCCAAGGGATTAACTGCATAGGGCTAAAACTGAATTACAAGATTTCTAACTGGAAGAACAATCATGAAATGAAATAGGGTTTAAATGAAATGAAATAGGGTTTAATGAAATGAAATGAAATGGGTTTTAAATGAAATGAAATGTGGTTTAATGTCCTACTTTTTTGCCCTAATGAATACAGACATACTTGCATACAGTCTGCTACATGGGAAATTTTTGCCCAGGCACTGGCGCTACGGCGTGGCGTCCCCTTGTCAGTGGTGCAGGACGGGGAGCCTGACAAGAACAGCTGTCTAGTAATTCGGATGGGACAAAAAAACCAAGATGGGAAGAAAAACCAAGGTTTAACTTCCGCTCCACACAAACTAGGTCAATTTGGGACTGACATATGGTTCAATTTTATTTCAATAATTTGCTTGCATGTAGGGGTCTTTAGCAGTGGGAGAAATCCGATGGACCCAGAGAAAATCCACGAGGTTGGACAGGCGACCTTATATATAGCCTACTCCTTGTCACTACAACCAGGAATTGAAACCGCGCCAGTTGACACAATGACAGACCTAATGATACAATGCGCTAACCATTCGGCCATCCATCCCACCTCCCTGTATTAACGAAACTAAGTCTTCGACATTGAAAACACAAATTATTTGTCAATTTAAAACAATACGATGCTGTGATCGTACTGCGAAACGATGGGCTTCTGATATCCAATATTTAATACAAAATAAACATTTTACCATTGGTACCAAATGTGTACCATAATGCGTTTCAGTGCCATTTGTAACAAGGGACTCGAAGAAGGAGGCTAGACATATTCCACGAGTCATGTCAAACGGTGACACCATATTCTTATCTGGAGAGCAACCATACTCGTATCTGGAGAACATGTGCAATAAATACAATCGGCGCAGACTGGAATAACCAGACATTACAGATTGCCATTTGATTGAGACTTCTGGCATATTTTGCCCAACATAACTGATTTGAAATTAGAGTAAAAACAGAAACGAGTTTATATATCGATGGCTTGGAACGCACCTGTACTATGTCCATTTTTTAAGGTTTGAGAAAAAAACGTATTTTAAGATTTCAATAAGCTATAAAAAAGTAAGTTATCAGTGGATGTATATGGTTTCAGGAAAGATTATTGCTTGAATCAATTCAAATAGGCTGATAGAGATGCACTTCAACTTAAGCACAGCATAAAGCTGATTTTTGGATAAATGTGATCCACAATGACTTATGTCCGTACTTTTTTGTCAGAATAATTGCACAAAAGACTTATGTCCGGACATGGACTATGTGTGTTCTAAAGAAATATGTGGGTAGTGCACAACAAATGACTTATGTCCGTACTTTTTTGTTCAAATTGATGTACAAATGACTTATGTCCGCACTTTTTTGCCAGAATAAATGCACAAAAGACTTATGTCCGGACATGGACTATGTGTGCTCTAAAGAAATATGTGGGTAGTACATAACACTTATGGTTATTTTGCCTTTTCGACAGCTTTAAATTGTCAGGGGACTTGTATCTTTTTACACAACAAGCGCCCTGGAATAAGGATTTTTAATATCTAAAAATCTTATTTTCACCAAAAATGGACATAGTACAGTTGTGCTCTAAGCCATCGATATATTCATTGTGTTGCTTTATACCCATTTAATTGTGTCAATTTCTAGGTCCCAAATATTAGGGATTTACCTCCTTTAAAACAAACAGCTCTATACTTACCAATGACATCTCTATCTTTAGCCGAGGAATTCCCTGTATTTTTCGTTCTAACGTTTAGAGACTTGAAACTACTTTTACCTTTATTCCGATATCTGATCAAATCTGAAATTCGCATGCGTTTTCCATTAGTGTAAAGGAATGTATGATTTGGATCTTTGGCAATTTGTTGTATTCTGTTATCTATTTTTGTGTAATCGTTCGTGGATTTTGCCTCCTTCATTAACGTAATCAGCTCCCCACCCCCTTTCATGTCGACTAATTCATACAACTTTCTGTCCAATCCTTGGACTTTCACTTCTTTTGAAACGGCATTTGCGTTCCCCATTTTTTTTTAAACCAATTACAGTGTCTCTTCTTAATTTAATATCCTTTCCGTGAACATAAATATAGCCGTTACATATTTACACCACGACCATTCCTGCCGTCACACTATTCACCTGTAATGTCAACAGGTACAGCGTCCATAGCAGCAATTATAGTCTGTTTCACAATACTACCACAAGTGACAGACAACAATTAGTGTTTCAAGTTTTCCGACTGTTAGGGAAAAAGAATTAGGAAGATACAGGCATTTTATATACATAATATAAAATCTATGTATCTTAATATTGAGAAATGAAATGAAATGAAATGGGGTTTAACGTCCTACTGTTCTGCGTCAAATGCGCTAATAAAGCCGGGCCTTAAGCCACAGTTGTACGATGAGGGAAATTTTGCCCAGACAGCGGCACGCCACTCATATATCGAATTCCGACTGCAATGTAGCCTATACACGTGACCTGGGATTTTCGTTCTATCCGAATGACTAGACAACTGTCTTTGTCAGGTCCTTGCAGTCCTGTGGCCCACTGACAATTAAGGGGAAACCACGTCAGAAAATCCTAATGAACTTTCTCGGCCAACGCAGGGATCGAATGCGCAACCTCCATGATTGCGAGCCAGCGTCTCACCCACTTAGCCACCGCGACTCCAATTATTGAGAATTGGAATTTAAGGAAGCGCGTATACTTGTCGCTGTCCGAGCAACATATCCCTTCAAAGCACACATCCCTTACATTAATTCGATTAAGGCAGAAAATTAAGAGGTTACAACCTATTTCATGTCATTTGTTTGAAGTTATTTTGGAAGTGGGGAATATTAACGGCAATGCGTGTGATATTGGTGCAGGTGTCATGCAGTCACATAATTAAATCCCCTGGCCGACCCCATTGACTAAATAAAAACATAAAAATTCACTTACTATTTCGATTCTATGAAACGTGTCAATTTGGCCCTTTTGGGTTTTACTTTTTTCTTTATAGACTTAGGCCCACCTTTTTAATGAGCTTACAGGCAGGCCCAGTCCGGCACTGGATTGCATTAATTATAACGAAAACAGCGAAAGCAAGTCATAAAATAGCTTAGAGAGAAATTGTTTCCCGTTTTGTTTTTTTAGTGTGTGTGAAATTTCTTTATTTAACGTCCGCTTCAACCGAGGTCATATCGCAGGCAATTGTTTGTTAGCTATGGAAGACCATTTAAATGAAAAAAGAAAGATATTCTAATTATCTTGTACGTGTAATTACAAGATAGCTTTCTCGTTATTAAACGCCGACATTTAGTGTGAATCGTTTTATCTCAACTTTCCGATTTACGGGACCCTCTTTCCTTTAATTACGGTTTAACTTTTAAGATTTATGCACATTCTCGATTTAATTCTTAAATCTCGGTCAAAGTTATGCAAATATATCATGTTATCCCAATATATTAGGCAATGTTTGTATGCATGTATATTGATGTATATGTATGTTTTGTATACTGTTCTTAATGGAAGTAATATGCAAATATAAAAGTTACTGTCGATTTTTTCGGGCTCTCACAGTGTTTTCGCATTTATTTTTAAAGTATTTGAATAGATGGATGGATTTTTTACAACTTGTCGGGTACAGGAGACATTTCGCTGGTGTGGGTGTACAAGAGTTTGACAAACACCTAGCTGTCTACGTTTGATTTAACTGCGCGATAATCAATGAAATTTCGGTGTATTCCCGTGACCAAAATTAATCCTTCCCGCGAAGGCGCAGATATCGACGTGTCGGCTTTCGTTTGACGAGAGACATGTTGTTATTAGGACCCAATTAACGGTGTTAAAGATTTTATGAATTTATGTTCACTCTGAATTTTATTCACCAATTGACAACTAATGATGAATATCATCAAATCACCCAAGTAGTGTTCACCTATTCGCTCACTCACACAATCAGTGTCATTTTTAAAGATATAAAATCTCGTTACACTATCCAAAATTCAGATAATATTCTACAATGGCAAACGCACAACTTGAATTCAGCTTTGTGCCTACAAATCGCGGAGGACGATATCTTTGCTCAGGTGGTTATATGTACCGTGTAAGTAAACGAAAAATAGATGAAACTACTATTTGGAAATGCAGCACCAAGGATTGTAATACTTCAAGGGTCAAGAAGCTAGTTGGAAAGCCCACCCTAATGTTTTTGAATTGATCACATTTTTGGAACAAGAACAAAATATTAATGAGATAAGAATCGTCCAATATGCTGGGGGACAGGAACCACCAAAGGAAAGATATAAATATGCTCAAATTCAAAGCCAGCTCGAGGAATTGAAACGAAGACACCAGCAAGATGAATTGACATTAGTCGAGTATTTAGACAGGGTGTCGTATTTGACGAAATTGAACTAATTTTGTTATATAATAGTTGTTTTTATTGGTGAAGTTAAATTAATTTTTATTATAGTATAGTTATGTTTTTTATTTATTTGACGAAATTAAATTAATTTTGGTTATATTATAGTATAGTTATGTTTTTTATTTCTTATCTGATGCTAAAATGTTGGTCAATCAGTTACAGTGGGGATTATGAAAGTGTAAATTCTTATCATAACATTCTATAACACCATTGTTACGTTTTTAATCCATTTTAATCCATTTTAATCCTTATGACTGGATTCCCGCTAAGTCGTCGAAAACGACCTTTTTTAATCCGTTACGGTCAATAACTGCGCCTTCGCGGGAATAAACCAAAATTTCTCAGGTTAAATTCGACATAAATTGACCGTTTGATCCAATATTGGATTAGATTTACTGTAGTCCAGAATATGGAACAAAAGTAATCAACGGGTTATCTTGCAATAAAATAAGTTAACTTTTTACTTCGAGTATCTAGGCCTAACAGCTAACAGCTGTGCTACCTTGTTTCTGATCATTGATTAGTTTAGGCTAATCTACTAATCCTTTTGATCATGTAAATAACACCCGATCAGGCAAGTGTTAATCTGCCTTAAATGTGGCATAAATAGTAATTTAACTGGTTGAATACGATAATTAATTACCTAACAGCAAGTTCATTAGGGCGTAATTATATAACTTAATCCGACACAGCCAAGTCAATCGTGGGACATCAATTAAAAAAAAAAATGGGCTCGAAATAAATATAAAAAAATATAAAATAATAAAATGTCCACCTAAAACAACATTAATTTAATTTGCTCTTCAGAAAATAGTTTTAAAATTATTTTATATAGGCTACCATTATGTATTTTTCTAGAACATAATTATTTAGTTCTTTTTTCTTTTATATAGAAACTATACATTATTTAAATTAAAACGAATGTCTACAATTATTTGAACCAGTCTATAGATTAAGGAAAACGGCTGGATAATCGAAAAAGGGGATAACGGTATAATGAATCATGCGCATTCAGCAGAGAAACCGTAAACTTCCGTTATGACTGACAGCTGTAATGGATTTCTAGCAACCTGTAAACAAATGCCTGAAATGCAATTGGACGGCCATTCAACCGGTAATTTTTAGCCTTAGCAACAGTATAACGGTACAAACATCTTAAGGGAATGAAATCTATCTGATCTTATAGTCTTTGGTCATTTAAACCTGAAATAATTCGTGTGTGAAAACACCATTTCACGAGTTATTCACTGACCGTGAAAAGTTTGTTTGTCGAACCTCGTTAAAAGTAAAGTTGGGAAAAAAAACTGTGAAAAACAAACTTTCGAAACATGACGACGATTGCTTTTGGAGGTGGACCAACTGTGGAACAGAGGAGGTTGTTTGCATCTTTAAAAGAAGGCACACAAGTACCTGGGTAGGATTTTTTTTTTTTTTTTTTTTTAAAATCTTGCACATTGCAAAAAGAAAAGTTAAATATTTTAGCCAGATATTAAAGATTATTATTAGGCTTATTTTAATTTATTGACCCGGCAAGTAGAATTATTTATAAAATCTCCATATGCACCTTTTACAATTGAAAATAACACCTATTATTATATACTTATTCAAAATCTCAATCAGTTACTACATTGTCACATTGTGATTTTATTTTATAATGAAAATAGACTAGTCACAATGCTATGTGGAGAGTGGTATATGTTCCTATTATATTGGGGTTATTGACATTATGTTATTCAATGAATTGTGTACCTGCAACAAATATAAGACATGTTTACAATTGTAAGCTTACACTTTTTTCATTGTTATTTGGACAATATGATTTATAATTCATGACCAAAAACATCATTATTATACTTGAGATAACTGTATTACTAGTGAGTCCAAATATTTAGCACTGGTAGTATTTAGCTTAATAAAGTTATTCAAATTCAATTATTCATTCAATTTCACATATATGTCCATAAATACATATTTTAGCATTGAAGAATTTTATATCAGATTTTAATTTTTGTTTTCACATTTTCATGTTTTCATAAATGTTTTGCAAAACCATAATTTTTTCTGTGACAATAAGGACATAAATATTAATATTGTTTAATATAAGTTTATGTGATATTAACGTTTTGTTCTTGTACAGTGTATTCTATTGATTTTGTTTTAACTATTTCAGATATCGTGGTTATATACCCCAGTTAAAATATCGAGTTGGTAAAACATATGGCACAGATACACATAAATTACTAGTGGTAAGTATCATTCACTTGTTCTTGAAATATCACAGTTTAACTCTTATTTTTTTTGTTTTAAAAAAGGTGCCATATTCTAAAATATTTCAGCCAGAGATCAGAATCTGTTGGCCACTGATTTACCCATAATAATATATAGGGAACAAGGGTTAGGGCCGGTTACTAAATGATGATCTACAAATTCTTAAATCACTTTAATGTTTTAACTTCCCATGGTAAAATCAGATAGAACAAAATAAAATATTATCACCCTTTTCTTTAATCTGCATTGTAATTAAGCTTATGCATGTGACTTGAGTGGCCATTTATTATTTTATTCATCAAGATCCGAAAAGAAATTAAACGTGGGACAATATTCATTCTGATTAAAATACAGACCTATATCTCGTTACGTTCTTTTATACTTTTGATAGCCTCTACTACATGAAGACCTGACCGGTTGTAGTGGAAGGACGCATCAGGTGTCGTATGAGTGGCTTTTGACCCTATGATGTCAGACTTTTGATAAGCACTAGCCTGTTCCTCAATTCTTTTCTGAGAATAAAATATTGTTTAGAAAAAAAAAAAATCATCCAGAACACGGATTAAACATAGGCCCTTTACATGTACATATCATTGAGGGCTTGGCATTGGTCTCCAACAAATAAAAATCATCTGAAATGGAGCCTACATGTAATTGACCTGAAGTTTTATATTCACATACATGTACATGTACATATGTCTAAATTTTACTCCCAAACATAACAGTGCAAATTGAATATCGTTATTTCTTCAAATTATATTTTATAAGCTCTTTTCAAGAATGGTACTATTACACTAAAGATTAATTTGAAAATTTTAAGACAGGGGCCTGTTTCATGAAATTTTAACTAAGATAAAATCCAAATTTTAGTTATTTGATTGGATAATATTAGGTTGATTTTAGTGTTTAGCCAATCAAAATTTAAGTATCTACTAAAATTTGGATTTTATCTTTAGTTAAGGTTTCGAGAAACAGGGCCCAGGATTTTAATGTTTTGGAAATAAGTTAAGAAAAAGTTTAAGTTATTATGTCAATTAAATAAACACTTTTTAGCCCATATTTTCTTTAAGCTATTTACTGTAAATCATGCTATAACTTGTTTTATTGAATGAAGCTAGTGAAGTGTGTGGTATATCAATATGTCTATTAGGTATATATATAGAAGTATATAAGTAATAGAGTTCAAGTTATCATAGAGGTTTATAACCTATGATCTATATAATATAAGTTATTATATAGAGATTAGTAAACTATTGTATAGGCCAATCTTTGATCAGACATGTACATGATTTCTTGTAGTAAAAGACCCAATTAGATTAATAGACTGTGTTATAGACTTAAATAGAAGTGACTTCTGGTTTGTCACAATAATTGTAGTTAATCTGGGCATGGACATGAATGTCTACCTCTGTAAAGACTTGGGGTCAAATGCTTGTCTGTTATTGACTTCAGAGAATTTTTATATCATTTAAAGACTTCTTGATCGGTTAATAATGTAAAATTTTAATATTTAAAAGTTTATATTTTGAGATAATTTTCTTTATACTCAAACTTCAAAAATCTTTCCCTTAAAATATTGCATTTATAAATCTACTTTCTTAATACAGAGTTGAGGCAAGCCTGGAAATAAGGCACCTGTCACAGACAATGTCAGGCACAGATTCAGGCTTTGTCAGGCACAATCTCTCTGGTACCTGTCATTTTGTCTGGCACTGATTTGTCTTTTTCATTGATATTATTAATACATGTCTGACAATAAGTTGAACTTGAAAATGTCAGGTACCATTTCATAAGTGCCTGTCATTTTGTCAGGTATATTTAAAACCATTATTTCCAGGCTTGAGTTTAGGGTATTATTTCTTGAAACAGACTTTATTTCATATTAAATAGAATCTGTTTAAACAAGTTTGTGTCATGGTAGCCTATTGTACACAGATAGATCTATTACATTTTATAAAGTTACATAATACCTTCAATTATTTTGTTTATTTCAATCTAATATTTCCTATGCTCAATGTCGTTAGACATGAAGGGGCTTCATGATTATGGTGTACTGTTTTTAAAGTGGGATATTCTTGTTCTTACCCATGAACCAATTGAAACTCTTTGTGACTTATATTACATACTGTCAATGACGATAATATAAGCCTATAATCCTTGAGTGTTATTTAGAGATTGAGCACATCAAAGACACAAAGACCAGTTATATGAAATACAATCGCTGGTGTTCTCTTATCATTTTAAAGAGAAAATGTCGATAAGTTTTAAAAGGCACAAAGCTTTTGTTAATATCCTCTTTGAAATTAGTTTAATGCTATTTTTTTTTGAATATTGATTAAATTTAGAATTATGAATAAATGATAATTTAATTTTCTTTTTCATTGACATTATTTATAACAGAGTTTTCCCTTGTCAGTGATGCAAGAAGTAGGAGGGCCTGACAAGGACAGCTGTCTAGTTGTTCGGATGGTACGAAAAACCGAGGTCTCGTGTACACATTGGCATGCACGCAAAAGATAACTTGACAGTTGAAATTCGATATAAGAATAGGCCATAGTGCCGCTGGCCGGGCAAAATTTCCCTCATAATACACACTACTACACTGTATGGTGTATGCCCGTCTTCATTAGCCCAGTTCGGAGCGTTAAACCTCATTTCATTTCATTTATAACCAAGTTTACCTATTACATTACATGTATGTCCCCTTGAGTAATTTAAAAATCAATAATAATAAAAAGAAAACCTAATTATTTTTCCAGCCGTTTCAATGATATTTTCTTATCTTTAAGGAAAATGTTCCGAATGCCAGAAAGACGTTTACATTAACAGGACCAATTGACGCACCATCATTACGTAATAAATTACCAGAAGCAAATGGAGAAAATAAATATACAGAAAAAATGGTATCTGGTTATACAGGTATGATGTTATTTATTTACCTTACTCTAACAATCCCTATATAGGTATGGGAAGTCTCTATAATGTTTCTTTGGTTTGGATGGCGTTGTTTCGATTCCCCGGTTGTACGTGACAATGAGTAGAGTCGCCTGTCCAACCTTATGAGTTTTCTCCGGTTTTCTGGGGGGTTGGATGGTCGAATGGTTAGCACGTGCGCGTTGCATCATAAGGTCTGTCATTGTGTCAACTGGCGTGGTTTTGATTCCCCAGTTGTACGTGACAAGGAGTAGGGTCGCCTGTCCAACCTTGTGGGTTTTCTCCAGGTCCTCCGGTTTCCTCCCACTGCTAAAGACCTCTACGCACAAGCGAATTATTGAAATAAAATTGAACAATGTGTTAGTCCCGAAATGACCTGGCTTGTGTCGAGTGGACGTTAAATCCCCTCTCTCTCTCTCTCTCTCTCTCTCTCTCTCTCTCTCTCTCTCTGGTTTTCTCTCACTGATAAAGCCCCTACATGCAAGTGAATTATTGAAATAAAATTGAATCACATTTTAGTCCCGAAATGACCTAGTTTGTGTTGAGGGGGCGTTAAACCCCATTTCTCTCTCTCTGTAATGATACTCTGTGGCCGTGTAATGACTAATATGCCCAAAAAGACATTACGCTGAGCCTTTTGGGAAGATAAGTCTAAGATAAAAGATATAATGAAAGATATTTTTCCAGTCATTCCAAGATTGTGATATTTTCCAATGACATGAGCCAAATGAAAACACTTCCAAAATTATTTAAATCCATTAATCAATTGAATTACAACTTATGTAATGATATTACAGGAAACATTTTTTTTTAAAAGTTGAACAAAATCTTATACATGGTATTTTGTCCCTTCCTAATATTTCTAATACTGAATTTTAATTCTAATATTTTACACTACAGGTTATATCCCAAGAATGCCGTTTAAATTTGGTGGAACATATAAAGAAGACTGTGATGTGTGTATAGATGAATTCCTTACAAACACACAGAATCATAACTTTAAGAATAAAGACTTACAAAGACAGATAAGAAGTTATCCTAGATTAACCGCAATATCATATGATCCTGAAGTCCGAGACAAATTAAATACATTTAGAAATAACACAGCTACAGTTATTGGTAAATAAAAATTGATTTTAAGCTTTGATTAATGCTGTAAAAGGCCTACATCAAGGCTTCAGCTCACGGTGGTTAAGTGGGTAAGATGCTGGCTCGCTAGCCTGCTGGAGGTCGGGTGTTCGATCCCTGCATTGGCAGAGAAAGTTCAACCAGATTTTCCGGCGTGGTTCCCCCTTGTCAGTGATGCAAGATGGAGGGTCTAGTCGTTCGGATTAGATGAAAAACCAAGGTCCCGTGTACACATTGGTGTGCACGTAAAAGATCCCTTGACAGTTGGAATTCGATATAAGAGTAGGGCGTAGTGCTACTGTCCGGGCAAACAAAATTTTCCTCATAGCGCACTGTATGGCGTATGCCCGTCTTCATTAGCCCAGTTCGGAGCAGAACAGTAGGAGGTTAGTCCTCATTTCCATTCCATTTAATCTTAACCTTGGCAAAAATGATCAGGGGATAATTTTCACCTTCACAGGGGGTAAATTTACTGATATTGGATTTTTACATACATGTATTTGCAATCATTCTGACTTTGTTTTTAAAATCTGAAGAAGAGAGAGAGAGAAATGGGGTTTAACGTCCACTAGACACAAACTAGGTCATTTCGGGACTAACACATGGTTTAATTTTATTTCTATAATTCGCTTGCGCGTAGGGGTCTTTAGCAGTGGGAGGAAACCGGAGAAAACTCAAGATGTTTGACATGAAACCTAACTCCTTGTCACGTACAACCGGGGAATCAAAACCCCGCCAGTTGACTTAATGACAGACCTTATGATACAGCACGCGCATGCTAACCATTCCACCCCCCCTGAAGAAGAGAAGAAATAGTTATTGTTGTTCCTATTCATAATGTTAAAAATGGTATTTGGAATTTGTCAGTGGCGTTTTCATAGCGGAGAGAGAGACAGAAATTGGGTTTAACATCCACTCGACGCAAACTAGGTCATTTCGAGACTAACATATGGTTTACTTTTATTTCAATAATTCGCTTGCGCGTAGGGGTCTTTAGCAGTGGGAGGAAACCTGAGGACCCGGAGAAAACCCACGAGGTTGGACAGGCGACCCTACTCTTTGTCACGTACAACCAGGGATTCGAAGCCACGCCAGTTGAATCAATGACAGGCCTTATGATACAGCGCGCACATGCTAACCATTCGGCCATCCAACCCCCCTTTCATGGTGGAGAGTTAGGGTAAATTTACTTTTAAAAAGTTGCTAGGAGTACACAAGCTGAAAAAGTTTGGTAAACCCTGACCTATATCATACCTAATCACATCTAGATCCAGTGTACAAGTTGAATGGATCCTTTGTAATTTGAAATGCCACTGCAGTGGCAAAATTCTCTCCCTTATTTTCATATTCAATTTATTTTTTTCTCTATTTACAGAAGATAAAAGACCATTAGAAGAGGCACCAATTCCCGGTTATAAAGGTTATATTCCACGTGTGGGTACCACAGAAATAGGTCTAGGTCACAGATATCATGAAAGTTCTAAATTAGGCTTTGAAACATTTGCCCAAGAAACCAGACGCCATGCTGAGAATACCTTTAAAGCCGAACCTATTCTGATTAATCGGTAAGTTATTTATGTACATTGAGGAGGGTCGCCTGTCCAACCTTGTAGGTTTTCTCCGGGTCCTCCAGTTTCCTCCCACTGCTAAAGCCCCCCACCAAGCGATGTATTGAAATAAAATTGAACCATATATTAGTCCCGAAATGACCTAGTTTGTGTCGAGTGGACTTTAAACCCTATTTCTTTCTCTTTCTTTAAAAACAACTAGTACCAACCCAACATCAAAACCACGACCAGTAAATTAATGTTTATTTTGATATTTATTTATATTACAGACCAACAACATCTCGTAATTTACGAAGTGCACCAAACTTTGGTCGACGTTTATATCCTCATGATGGTATGATTCCAAACTATACCGGTTATATTCCACGTAAGTATTTAACAGTATTTTATTTTCACTACATAACAGCGTTGGAATTAATATCCTTAATACAACAAACACATTTCCACGGTTTAACCCTTTGGCACTTGGTACATGTAAACATTTACTATCTCATTTCTCTGAGGAAAGGGGGTCACGGTGGTTAAGTGGGTACGACGCTGGCTCGCTAGCCTGGAGGTCGGGTGTTCGATCCCTGCATTGGCCGAGAAAGTTCATCCCGATTTTCTGGCGTGGTTCCCCCTTGTCAGTGATGCAGGACGGAGGGCCTGACAAGGACAGCTGTCTAGTCGTTCGGATGTGGAAGAAAAACGAGGTCCCGTGTACACATTGACGTGCACGTAAAAGATGCCTTGACAGTTGGAATTCGGTATAAGAGTAGGCCGTAGTGCTGCTGTCCGGGCAAAATTTCCCTTATAGCACACTGTATGGCGTATGTCCATCATCATTAGCCCAGTTCGGGGCAGAACAGTAGGATGTTAAACCCCATTTCATTTCATTTCATTTCATTTCCCTGAGGAAATTAGAGAAAAGTGATGTTTGTTCATATAGTTCAATTTTGAAACTGCCGGTGTAACTGTAGCATACAGACCTACATATGATCCTTAGATAATTCAAGTGACTCTACTCAGGTTGAAGGAGCAGTAGCTAAAGGGTTAAAGACAGTTTTTTTGAGATTTAGAGTAACCAGACCAGACTAGACCTAGAAGTGTTAGAAATTAAAGTATGTGACATATGCAAAAAAAATGGAGGTCTTGGTTTATAGTTATTTTTGGGAGCCATGTCTGAAAAGTGTTAGAAATTAAAGTATGTGATATATGCAAAAAAATGGAGGTCTTGGTTTAGAGTTTATTTTTGGGAGCCATGTTGGCTCACTAATCAGGAGGTCTGGGGATCAATCTGAGTGTTGGCCGAGAAAGTTCCCTGGGTTTTTTCAGCATGGTTTCCCCTTGTCAGTAGCGATCTTAATGGTGCAGGATGGGAGGGCCTGGCAAAGACAGTGTCTAGTCTAGTCTTTCAGATGGAACAAAAAACCCTTGACAGTTGGAATTCAAGAGTAGGTTGTAGCACCTCTGTCCAGGACTAAATTTCCCTCCATAGCACACTGTATAGCTTATACCCCTCTTCATTAGCTCAAATGGTGTTGAAAAGTAGCACAATTTGATAATAAAAAATTAAATAAATTATTCATTTTACCAATTTTTCAGAAAGACGATATGCATTTGGTAACACATATGGAGATACAACAAGGTCTTTGGAGGTTTGTCGTCATCCTTTACCTTCTTATGGTGAATATACGAAGATCAATCCCATTGATTAAACATCATTAAAATATAGGATGAAAGATAAATGTATATAAAAATATATTTATATGAAAATATAGATATTTAATTTATATATAACAGAAAAACTTTTTAAAAATATGGTTGAATATTGATCATCAACAAGACATAAAATACCATGTAAATATTTGAAATGCTGCATTAATAACAGTTACTTGAAGTTAGGCTAATGTTTGCCTCATCACTTATCCATAGCAGTTAGTCTCTGTTGCTTCTCATCCCAGATTCTGCTCTGATCTGGACTAAATGGTACTGGTAGTAGGTGTATATGGTTACACACATTGTTGCCTCAATCGAGCAGTCATCTGCATGCGGTTAGATCTTTTTGATAAGGCCAACTGCAGCAGAGGCAAATGGGCTGGAGAAACAGAGACTACATAGAATCAATATGATTATCATTAGTTCACCATAATTTTGTATGAATTACAAAGCAGTAGACCAAAAAAAAATACATGTACATTCACATACCTAATAGCTTTAGCCAATGGCTTGTAATGCTTCCTATGACATGGCCATCTACCATTCATGTATTATTGTTGTTGTTGCATTTAAATTTTGTTAACAATCTTCAGGCCAAACCAAATTAATCTTTAGTTCTTCAGGCTTCTGATCAATATATAGTCACTTCGAGTCTTCTGAACAATTTTTTTGTTTAAAAGTTCCAAACTGTGAAAGCTTTTAAGAAGAGCAATCAAATACTATTCATTTTTTTTCCCACCAAGATATAAGCTAATTGTAGGCCGGTTGGGGAGGTTTGGGAATTTCCAGAGACCAACATGGCTGCTTTATATAAATGAGTATTTTGGGGAATACTAACCCTAATCCTTTTTTTCCCACCAAGATATAAGCTAATTGTAGGCCGGTTGGGGAGGTTTGTGAATTTTCAGAGACAAAATGGACACTTTATATAAATGAGTATTTTGTGGAATACTAACCCTTACCCTAACATTTTAAAAGAGGGGTAAAATGTAAATTGATCCAAAGTCTTCTAATTACGGTTAGTATTTCCCAAAATACTCATTTATATAAAGCGGCCATTTTGGACTCCAGAAATTCCCAAACCTACCGACCTACAATTAGCATCTCCCAGTTTGATTAGGTGTTACGGAAGAACAAATGTTCCAGTTAGTTAGGCAAGGCCTTAACTATAGCGTCAAGAGAACTGATTTATGTACATTACTTTAGCCAATAACTTTTAATACTTCCAATAACATGGTAGTCTATAATTTATGTATTGTTGTTACGTTTAAATTAAATTTAGAGTGGACGTCAAATATGGCTTCTGAAAATTTTTATATTGATTTGTTGAGATAACATGATCAAGATTTGAAATACATTATTAACATATAACCTTTATTAAAATTCATATATTTCATATTCATGTTCACTCATTTTGAATTCTGTCTCAAAGTGCTTTGTCTCTTATTTCGTAACTATTTAGCATTTTCGGTAATTTTTCTGGGGTTGTTTTTGTTTTTTTCGAAGGGTAGCAAACAGGACAAAACTTTTGGTGCAATCTCTAGTACATGAAATAAATGTGTTCATAAAATTAAAGAAATTACCAATAAAAGGAAGTTGTATTTATTTTCACATTGTATTTAGATCCAGTCCTGTGAATTTAAACTTAACCATGTGTTGACAAGCATTATATATATATTTATATGTATTTTTTTTTTTTTTTTTTCATATTTATTGTACTTAGTGTACGAATAAATTTATTATTATTAATTTCAAGACAGATTTTATCAATCTGATTAGAATACAGATTCATATTTCATTTCGTTTTTGTATACTTTTGATGGCCTCCACTACATGAAGGTCTGACCGATTGAAGTGGGTGGTTGCTTCTGGGGTCATACAAGCAGGTTTTGACCTTATGACGTCAGACATTTAACCAATCAGCGTTGATATTGTTTCTAGTGGGATACTGACAGTTCCGTGCACCACACACCAAGAACTCGCTGAAACAGACTGTTTCATTGGCTAATCCCACACATCAACCAGAATGCAGGTTATGTAACAACTCTTCCAGATCCTAGTGTAGTAAAGACAAGTAAAACAAAATTTTGAACTATAAAAAACGAAACGCAAAATGATCTATGTTTTAGTCAGATTGACATTTTATCTGGATGATCTGAAATAATTTCATGTCACATTAAAACCAGATTGTCATTTGAGGGATTTTGAATCCCTGGCAAACTACATTGTAAAAGTAAATTAAATCGTAATTTTCGCAACTTTTGGCATCCTCTCCAGATGCTATGAGCAAGCCAGCATTCCTGTAAGTGCTGGGTGACTCTGTTTAATCCAACTGAATCAAAGCATGGAGATTATCTAAAGTTGATATTTTGGTTTTGTTTTCCTAATTACATGTAAATGTTAAATAATTATTTTGAATACATTTTAGCATGGATTAAGCCGTGAAAAATTCAATATTGTCCGAAAAATGCAAATGACGATCAGTTGCTTTCATTTCATATTTTAGAAGTATTTTGATAGCGTAATTATAAATTAAATGGGAAACTATTAACGGTTGAATGGGTAAAATAAAGGTTGATGCATATTGAGAAGGTCCCACACACCATTAAATTTTATTCTGTCTCTTGGGAATCTACATGTATTAGATTAGAACTCCAGCAGTGGGTTTGCAAAGTTTTTGTTACATTATTGGGAATGTATCATAATTAATATTTTTAAAAAATAGATCGATACACACATCTGTTTATATAGTTTTAATAATTGATTAGGAGTTTTTTTTTGTTTCGTTAATCAATGTTGATCCTTAGCCTGTTAGCCTGTTAGAGCATAAATATATTTTAATCTGGATATCAAAAATCTCCTTTCTCCAGTTAGATTCACCCGCTGTCTGTGATATTAATTTTGTGATATTAAATCATATTAATTGTAATGAGTTAGATATTGATGTTTGATTTGTTACTATTTAGATATAGAATGTATAATAGATATACAAATGTAAGGTTTAGATAAAGAGATGTATCAATCGGATTAAAGTACAGATCTACATTTTGTTTCGTTTTTTGATACTTTCGATGGCCTACACTACATGAAGATCTGATCAGTTGTACTGGGAGGTCGAGTCAGGGGTCATACGAGTGCCTTTTGACCCCATTACAATAGTCATTGATTTATCAATCAACGTTGATGTTTCTAGGGGTTTACCCACAGTTCCGTACTGAGCATGGCAAGAACTCGCCGTTACAGACCGCTATTGGCTAGAACGCCTGTCATATAACAATTCTTCCAGATCCTAGTGTTGTGAAGACAAGTAAAACGAAATTTTGAACTATAAAAAAATGAAATGAAGTAGGATCTGTGTTTTAATCAGATTGGAGTTGTATGTTCTTGCTATAATAGTTAATGAAAAATGAATGTATTGAAAAATTCAGTCAAATTACTTTATTCTGAGCAAAGTTATGATTTTTTAAAGTTTTGACAAGAAACAGTCGTGATTGTCAAGTACCATTGTTACAATAATAAACAAAGTCTCGATTTTCCATATTACTGTTTAACGAAGATATGGCGGACATTGTCTAATCCATTCAATATCTTAGCCATTTGATGGTGTAGGGTGTTGATTATGGGCTTGTCATGTGAATAAATGTCCAAATAATAATTTATATGAAATTTGAAGCCAGAAAAAAGACCTGCAATATGGCAGACATTGTTTAATCCATTCAATATCTTAGCTATTTGTTGGTCTAGTGATTAGATTATAGGCTTTTCATGTGAGTATAGGTTTTTCATGTGTATTAATGTCAAAATAATGATTAATATGACATTTGAAGCAAGAAAAAAGACCTGCAATATGGCGGACATTGTTTCATCCAATTAATATCTTAGCCATCCGATGGTGCAGGGTGTTGATTATGGGCTTGTCATGTGAATAAATGTCTAAATAATAATTAATATGACATTTGAAGCCAGAATAAAGACCTGCAATAGGCAGATTTAGCTCTTATATAATGTATCTTTAAGCGACTGGAATAATATTTATCAGTATGTTCAGTATCTTGTATATATAACTCCAATTAAATAGGTTAACTTGTACATAAATCTTCCATTATATTTTAGTGTGTATATAAATGAAAAGTACAGTAATTATTTTAAGAATATATTTCCAGACCTGATCTCCAAATAGTTGATCATTGTTGACATTGAGTCAACGGGCATGGTTGCGATTTCCTGGTTGAATGTGATGTGGGTTTTCTCCTGGTCCTCCGGTTTCCTCCCACTGCTAAAGACCCCTACGCGCAAATAAATTATTGAAATAAAAATGAACCACGTGTTAGTTTGTGTCGAGTGGACATTAAACCCCATTTCTCTCTCTCTCCCCGCAATAATTGTCAAGAGATTTCTGTTCACTCCAACTTAATTAATGAATTAAAATGATTGACAGAAGAATAGGTTACCCCCATTTCAAAAAAGATCTTGTTTTTTTTTGTAGAGAAACAAACATTACCATTGAGTTCCCCGATTTTAATGTATCTTATTGCACCATTCATTGATTAGTATTATATGTATAAAGTTTTATCTCAATTCTTCCTAGTTCTGCCAAAATTTCTCTTATTTTCAATTCAACCATTTAAGTTACTGCTGATTGTTGCACAATTTTAATGCTAAACTCAAATCTTTAACATAATAAACCAATAAAGCATTCCATTATAATATGTTTTGATGTTTGTGTCATTTTTATATTCTTATAATGTGAGATAGAAACAACCAACACAGACCAACTACAGAAGGTTTGATGGGATCATTCTTGACATGGTCAAAATCATGCATTTGAGAGAGAGAGAGAAAACTCACACTCACGAGGTTGGAAAGGCGACCCTACTCCTTGTCACGTACAACTGGGGAATCGAAATCCCGCCAGCTAACTCAATGACCGACCTTATGATGAAGCGCGCACATGCTAACCATTCGGCCATCCAACCCCTCTAAATTTGGAAAAATCCCTGGATATAAAAATGTAGTCGGTGGAGTATTCGTAAGAAATTTTGGACGGGGTCCGGCAATTATGATATACAAAATTTGGTCGTATAAAAATTTAGTTCATACCAACCATATTTACCCATCAAATGTGCCCTTTAGGGTTTGTTCCCCAGCTAAAATAAACATTGATCCTTACTACCCAATACAACAGAGTTTTCGTTAAATAAAGTCTTATTTCTTATTTTTGGAATAAACAAACAATTCAAAATAGTTCATCATTTATTTATAAAATATAATTAAAAATACATCAAACTGTTTAAACCCCATTTATACATACCTGTATATATTTAACTTAATGTAACATCTCCATTTAACTTAACACAATATCTCCATTTTACTTAACACAATATCTCCATTTAACTTAATGCAATATCTCCACTTAACTTAATTTAATATCTCCATTTAACTTACCACAAAATTTTATACTGGTCCAACTGACCGTCATTAACATATCTTAAAGGGATATTTTAAATAAAATATACTAAGACCTTATACTAAATTTATGTACAAAACAAAAATAGAGACATGAAAATACAACATTTTGATTTTTTAAATTAAATGTTCAGTAATCAATTTGAGTACATTTTAGCGAGGATTACAGAATGGGGGGCAGGGGGAATCTTTAAAGATACATTATGGGAGATTAGATAAAGAGCTGACAGTTCTCGCTATAATAGTTAAAAACTAGATAATGTAAAGGTAATTTGTTGAAAATTTCAGTCAAATTGTTCCACTATGAACCGAGATATCAGCTTTGTAAATTTCCGCCTAGCCTCGTTCATCATTACTAAAGTTAGTACGTTAAAAAGCAGTCTCGATTATCCATTGTTTTGATTTAATTATCAATGAGCGTTTGCAGCATATAGGATTCTTGACATCAAGAGTTGATTATGAAATTTTTAATAAATTCATTTTGCATTATCAGTTTTCGAACTATTATAGTAAGAATGGCTAACTCTTTATCTAAATCTTACATGATGTATCTTTAATATAACTATTATAGCAATAATAGCCAGCTCTTTATCTAAACCTTACATGATGTATCTTTAATATAACTATTATAGCAATAATAGCCAGCTCTTTATCTAAACCTTACATGATGTATCTTTAATATAACTATTATAGCAATAATAGCCAGCTCTTTATCTAAACCTTACATGATGTATCTTTAATATAACTATTATAGCAATAATAGCCAGCTCTTTATCTAAACCTTACATGATGTATCTTTAATGACATTGATGTACATCAATGTATAAGCAAATATTTACAAAAAACATGAACATCCAAATAACAAAAGCAAAATTTTGCTTGATATAATAATAAAAATAAAAATCTTTAATGATAATGTCCTGATAATGTTCTAAATATGAAAACTAATGTATTCGACATAATAACTGCCCTGCTCAAATAAGAGCCCACAACTTGATTTTTATTTGGGCCTGACAGGAAAATGCTCAGTGCAAGTAATTATGTCAACAGCAGAAATTACTAACCCCTACGCTCAAGCAAATTATTGAAATAAAATTGAGCCATATGTTGGTCCCAAAATGACCTAGTTTGTGTTGAATGGACGTTAAACCACATCCTCCATTAACTTGTCCCGAGCACTGGGGTTATTTCGACTGTGTAGATATTTCCTGACTACTCTACGTTAAAAGTCAGAAGTTAAAACAGGGATAAATTAAGAATCAGAATCAGAGTAGTTTCTAACGGTTTGATGAATTATTGATGATTCATTAAGATCACATCAGGTTAATATATTTCAATATGCAGACTGGCGTTTCCCTGGATATTAACAGCTTCTGTAGAATTTCGTAATAAAACTTTTTAGATCAATATTTCTTTGACATTTGATTTAGATAGTATTGCGCTATAGTTTGTACATGTAATTATTAAAGTAATGTATCAAATTTATAGGATTTTAAAAGCTTTAGCTGTCAGTTTTAATACATGTAGATTTGAGTTGAAACATTTTTCGACAAATGAAATGAAATGGGTTTTAACCTCTGCAAGGGAAATTTTGTTCGAACAACAACACTACTGCCTACTCTTTTATCGAATTCCAACTGCCAAGGGTTTTTTTACGTGCATGCTGATGTGTACATGGGACCTCGGTTTTTCATCCCATCCAAACGACTACATGTATACGCTGTGCCTTTACCAGGCCATTTGTCCTGCACGACAAAGGGGAGACCACTGTTGGACTTCGATGAAGAGTAGGCAGAAACAATTCCGCTCTGGAAACATTGCGCGGTTAGATTTATTTGATAAGGCCAACTTCAAGTTTGGTCAAAGGTCACGAGATATAAACAGGGCTAGTGCTAATCCCAACCCTAACCTAAACCTAACCTTGGACCAAACCCTAATGCTTACCCTAACCCTAACCTACAATCTCGTCAACAATCATGTGCCCTAACCTTATTTACACCTCAGTGACCTTGACGAAATTGAGCTGGCCTTAACAAATAGATCTAGTCAACATTACCCTCCTAGTACACTACATGACATCAGTCCTGTTATTACATATACATTGGGGGATCACGGTGGCTAAGTGGGTAAGACGCTGACTCGCTAGCCTGGAGGTCGGGTGTTCGATCCCTGCATTGGCCGAGAAAGTTATCCAGATTTTCTGGCGTGGTTCCCCCTTGTCAGTGATGCAGGATGGAGGGCCTGACACGGACAGCTGTCTAGTCATTCGGATGATACGGAAAACCGAGGTCCCGTGTACACATTGGTGTGTACGTAAAAGATCCCTTGACAGTTGCAATTGGATATAAGATTAGGCCGTAGTGCAGCTGTCCGGGCAAAATTTCGCTCATAGCACACTGTATAGCGTATGCCCGTCATTATTAACCCAGTTCGGAGCAAAACAGTAGGACATTAAACCCCATTTCATTTCATTTCATTTTCATTTCACATATACATTAGCATTGACAGATGACATAGATCAATCTAGAAATAAAGAGAATATATACCACTAGATACAAAAACTTGCTAAAAATAAACATTAGTATCTATTTTTATCTAGGTTCGGTGGTCTTTCTATAATCTCTTAGACTTAAAAACTTGCATTTCTCATTCAAGCATGATTTCTTGAAAAGATATTTTACTATAAATACACTAACACTAAATTAATCATAACTCAATTAAAACATGTATAAAACTTAATGTCAAGCTGGCTGTTCTTGCTACAAACAATAGTCACACATACGTACAGTCATAAATGGTTGAAAATCACAATCAAAATTCACTTTAATGTTTCTGGACAATATTGATTTTCATCTTGATCTACCAGTCATTTTAAGTGATTTAAACTGCTTTCATAATGTGCATACTCAAGAAAATATAAAGCAATTAAGAACTTAATTTTTCTATGATGTTGACTGGCTTGTCAATAAAATAAAGTTTTTGAATTTTTATAAAGAACATTGTAGACGTAGTATTGATTGTTCCTGACATATCTTTTTGTGTCACTTTATAATTTTATTATTAGGGTTTTTTTGTCAAAACCTGTTCCAGTTTTCTGTTTGCCTTCACCAATATATTGCATCCAATCTGATTAAAACACAGATCCTATTTCGTATCGTTTTTTATAGTTTTAAATTTCGTTTTACGTGTCTTCACAACACTAGGATCTGGAAGAATTGTTATATTACCAGCGTTCTGGTTGAAGTGAGGGATAAGTCAATGAAACGGTCTGTTACAGTTAGTTATTGGCGTGCGATGCACGGAACTGTGGGTAAACCACGATGTCTGACATCATAGGGTCAAAAGCCACTCATATGATCACTGACGCGACCTTCGAGTACAACCGGTCATATCTTCGTATAAAAAACGAAACAAAATATAGATCTGTATTTTAATTAGATGGGGTTTGTGTGAAAAGGCATCCTGTTCCCCACTACAACCTTCCAAGCTATAAACCAATGAGATTTCAGCGTTAGGACTGCGTTTTGATCTGATCATAAGTAAGAAATTGATCTGGGTGTACACAAATTGCATGGGTGCATAACTGAGCCACATTTATCTTTCATATCACAATAAAGGACCCATCTTTTGGGCCAGCTACACTGAAGTGGCGTAGTTTTGATTTCCTGCTTGTACGTGACAAGGAGTAGGGTTTTCTTTAGGACCTGTGGATTCCTCCCATACTTAAAGATTAAAGATCCATATTTGCAAGTGAATTATTGAAATAAAATTGAACCATATGTTAGTCCGTAAAATAAAATGAAATGATTCATATTCAGAAGGGAATTTTTGAAATAAAATTGAACCGTATGTTAGTCAGAAAAATGAAATGAAATGATCTACTGGACCTTAAAACCTCTCTCTCTCTCTCTCTCTCTTTCTCTCTCTCTCTCTCTCAGTACTATTGCATAAATAGCATACTGCAATACTATGCTTGGTGCAGGTTAAATTTCTGTGATCTCCTTGTCCAAAGTTCCTTTCACTCAAATAACGGAGGAAAACTATTGCCCCTATCAGGACGCCCCGCCCTCCTGCCCTGTATGCCCACTGGCTATGTATACATGTATGTAATTTAGTAATGATGTTTTTATGTGTTTTTGTTTTTCAGTTTGTGGTATTATTTGAATTATTTATACCGTTAGTGCTATTTGTTATATTATGGTTAATAAGAAAAAAATTACCAGCCAATCCAATTGGTACACGTAA